CCATCGAAGAAGATTTTCACCGAATAGAATTGATCATATGCTTCCTTTAGAATAATTGCTCGAACTTGATGCATAGCAAAACAAAATTTCCTCGTAAAGATCCTTATTGCAGGTGTTTGGATTTCGATATATTCTGAGAAATGAGCCGTTGAGAACTCGATAGGGAGTCAAAGTTGTGGGGTCAGACAACAAATTAAGTTCACAAGCAATGAGTGTCCTGCATAGTGCAAAGATCAGCAATTTCTGAACTGAAAAACTCATAGTTAGCTACCTTTGTGCGGTAGTGTTAGATCCCGTTCACACCAAAACTTAAACATGTTTTGAAGCTGCTTTCTTCAACTCTATTTTATTTTTCTTGTATTCATATAGGCTGCATAAAGTGACGTTTGTTGACTTCCAAAGTGACACATTGAAAATACAAGTTAACGATTACTTGAAGTTTAAGAACATTCTGTTAAACTAGACATGTCTTGCTGGGCTGAATGTGATTTAGACTTCTTGTATCTACTTTCTAAAAATTATTGCACCTTTTAAGGGTGAGACCATCCGTCATATACAAATTACATTTATTTCAAGATTTTTAACCTTTCCTCTTTTGAAAAGGACCGGAAAAAATGGCAATTTTGTCTGTACAACTGACATGTAACTTGTTATTCTTACAACTTTGTCGAATCTGGCCCCAAACCACTGAATGCTAAGCCGTCGTTGACGAGACGGACGGTGGAGTAGACTTCAAAACAGAAGACAAGAATTAGGAACGAGATAAACAAGCTCGCCTTTCTTGAATGTTTTTCTTTTAATGGTGATTTGGTGAAGTAAAAATCAATGCAAAAGTCCGACGCTATTGTGTTGCGTACCTGTCAAGAAAAAAAAAACAGAAGGTTTTACATGACACAAGCGAAATATTCAGATCTCGGCTGTATACATTGAGAATCCGATAGTGCCTCAGGTCATGAAGATATTTAATTGTCTGTACTTTGATGAAATAATTTTCGATCTAGAGGTCGAGGTTGGTTCCATTTCGTACTTAGTAAGAAAATCATAAGGTTTTAGATTGCGACTCAACAAAAACTTGCTGCTGTTTTATTAAAACAGTTTATGTGGATCGATATATATATATATAGCGCAAACAAAACAGTTAATCACAGGTATTCTAACAGAAATAATGATGACAAAATAACAAAGAAAACGTTGAACGATACATAGTGGTTATTGCACGAGAACAAGAAGTTGTAAATGTTATGTACGAGTGGCAAGTAAATATCTCACGATTGAGGGCAGCGAGCGATTGAGATACGCGGCTCTGA